CCGCAAAAAAGTACGTATATAAAATAAATTTGAGAATCTTTCGGGACTAACGGGTATTTACAGTTCTCTGGAGACAAAAAAAATAGCAAAACATTGAAGAGTGAAACGTGCGATAATGGTTTTAATTTCCTACTACTGGCTGGCTCAAAAGTTCAAGCGCAATTTTCAATGAATCTTGTTTGATTTATAATTCATTGTAGGTAGTAGCGCGACGGTCGGAGCTTTCTAGCAAGATCTCGTAGTGGAGATTAAATCGTCTGAAGTGCTATTTTGCACTGTCGGTATTACAACAAATTATTGTGTATAAGTGATATTTAAAGCGCCATTGTCGCCGCTGGAATATTGTTATAAGGGTTTGTCCTAGTTAATCCTTTTGGGATTTAACGTGACAAGAAATACTCCGCCTTCGTTGAATAAGCATAAACTTTCTTGCTCCAGTAACGCGATCGCGAGGAATATTAATCAATCGATATTAATATTCCTCTCTTGCGATTTTTAATTGGAATTGGAGTTAATTTGCATATCTAATTGATCAGTTGTTAAAACTGTATTCTCTGTTTTTAATTAGTCTATAATTATTACGTTTTTGATTGAATCTACATTCATGTCAATTTGTCAAAATTAATCTTTCCACAGCCCTGGTAAATACAAATAGAGGGTGGCTCAGAATGATCCAATTATTTCAGGTAAAAAATCAATTATTTTATTAGTACTAACACAAACGAAATCTTTATAAATCATATTGTTTATTTGTTACTCAGTTGTAAACGTTGATTAACAAGACAAAACGCAAACGGGTAAACGTCATGTTTAAACGCTACTGACTTGTAAAACTGACAGCAGACCTGTAAAAATTTTACATAGTAATTTCATTGGCCAGAATTAATGCGAAGTCTCTGTTACATGGATCACATGATAGGTATTTTAGACATTTCTTCAAGATTAATTTAAGAACTAATTATTTACGTTTACTATTGTTTACAAATGAGTAAATAAAAGATTGTACATTATACTCCAGGTAATAGTTTCTTCTCCTCGCCAGTAAAAACTCACTTACCTGGCTAATAATGTAAAATACTATTACATGACGACGAAAATACCTATTTGGATTCTAATTTTTCACTGTCATCAGTCACTTTGGATTCCTTTGTTTTCTCGGAATTTTCATACCCAGATCCTTCGGATTATATTCAAATCGTTTTAAATCACCGAATCCTTTCCATTCTGCACCGTTCTAACTCCTTTGAATTGCTCAGATTTCTCTGGTACACTGGACCAATCAGATCGTGGAAGTCCGGCGGATCATTAAGTTTCTTCGAATTTCCAAATTCTTTACATCTTTTTCTTTTTTCGGACTCTTCAAATTGTTCAAATTGGTCCAATCCATAAGGCTCCTTCAATTCTTCTTAATTCTTTCGATTTTTCAGATTGCTGCGATTCTTCGGGTATTTAAGTATTCTTCGGGCTTTTCGTCGAATTCTTTTAATTATCCTTCTGTTTAGAATCTTCTTGTATGCTCCGTTCAATTCTTCGTCTTGGGGCTTTCGGTCTTCCGTTTCTTCGGATTTTGGTATTATTTAAATTTATCGGACCAGGTTCGTAACATTCTTCCTCTTTTAGAATTCATACGATTCATTAGTTTCCTAAAATTCTTCAAATACATCAGGCTCTTGATATTTTTTTCTTTTTTCGTCAAATTCTTCTTCGTATTCCATGATGAAATTAAAAACTTTTCCTTTTTGACGTTGATATCTTTCAAAATTTATACCTCAAGGTTGGATCTTGATTGGGTATCTTTGAAGATGAAAATAAGGGAAGTACTTAGTCAGTAAAATAATTCAAGAAAAAGCTCTCTTTTGAAGGAGTTTTCGAGCGTAAACAATTAACCTTTACAAACTTAACCAGAGCCTGTACCCTATATCGTTTTTAATGTAGATATTTCCTTAACAAAAGACCGGAAGTCATTGGATATTAAAAATCTGTTCTTTCCTTTTTTTGAATCAACGATTACCGTAGTGCAACAAAACAGTGTGTGACACATTTTGTGGAAAAATATTACGGCGCAAGCCTTTCGGGGGAGAATTTTTCTTGGGGGCGAATTTCACGATATTACATTTCGGTGGAAAATGCACGAAGAAAAATTACTGAGGGAATTTTCTTACAGAACTATATGAGGAAATTTAGAATTTGGTACAGGACCAGTTAATCAAAGTCTAAGTGGATTGATAAAGACACTAAACCTTCCCCATACCTCTTTTAATTATTTCAGGTATTAGATTGAAGGCATTAGGTGACAGCGACTATAGTTTCGACCCGAAGGTCATTATCAAGCTTAAGTTTAAAGGAACATATAAAGGTGGTTGAAAATTACATATTAAAATGGTACATTTGGTTATCAATATGGGGAAACTATAGTCGCTGTCACCTAATGCCTTCAATCTAATACCTGAAATAATTAAAAGAAGTATGGGGAAGGTTTAGTGTCTTTATCAATCCACTTAGTCAATATCACCCCGTTTTGAGCCTTTATAAGATGGATAGCTACCAATTAGTTAATCAAAGGACGTGCTTTACCATTACAATTTCCTAGAGGTTAATATTTTCTAAATGTGATTTTTGTGTACAACAGGTTTACATACAGGGTGGTGACTTGCGTAACGCATCATAGGGATTTCAATGTAAAATTCATAACATGCGATTATTGGCTCCCCAAATTATTTTAGAGCAAAAATGTATTAAGGTTTTTGTTAAAAAGCGATGATTTAGTCTATATTCAAGGGTAGTGTGTGTTTCACTAACAGGGAGCAGCCAGTTCCAAATGAAAATAGTGGAGAGACAATTTTTTCTACGCGACGACGGTACCTAAACGAAAAGACATACACCAAATTTGTAGCTCTTGTAATACACGCTTCACTAATTTGAAGTAAAATAACAGAAGCAATATCCAGCGGAGCGTTTTTCTATAACTAACTAACGTCATAAAATCGACCAATTTTCATATAACGAGCGATATGTTTTTTGAAGTTGTTTATTTGCCGCACTCAAACTTGTCAATTAGTCTTTGCGTACCCCCAGAATATTAATTATTTAAGGCATTCCGTGCTTCGTGGGCAATCTGTTTTAATTGTTCGCCGACCGCGCATACTTCAAGCGTTTTCCTTACAATTTACTTTTGCAATTTTAATAACCTTTTTGCACTTGTGATTGTTTTTTTCATTTTTTGGGAATCACTCTTGTTTGTCCGTACTCTTAGCACATTTCTCAATAGGTTTACTGCAGTCACAATCTAGTTACTTATTTAATATTTATGACGGTAAAAGAACAAACTCCTACTCGCAAGTGAAATAAAGGAAAACTTCTCATTTCGTCTCATACATTATTAACCCTGCGTTTTCTCGTAAAAATATGCTTTTATTGCCCGTCATTTTTAGTTGGTTCGAAATTCTTAAATTCTTATATCATTCTGCAATCCATATACTGAATATTTGCTAAAAGAGAATTTAACATAGGAAGAATCTCGGGAAGAATGGACGATTGTAACGGTGTTGTCATGGCGATCCGAGTAGAAGCGTTGAGTATTCTGGAATATTTTCCATATGAGATACGCTGCATAACAACTGTATAAGAAATGCTTAATTAAAAATCACTTGAGAGTGTTTAACAATAAAATTTATAGGGTCGCCAACAAACCAATTTACACCCCTCGCATGACAAATGCTTAGTTTATTAGTTAACCCGTACAAAACGCCATAAAGTAAAAGAAACTCGTAGATATGCGAGATATGGAAACACTTAAAGGGAATCGTCATACATCTTTATTAAGCATATGCGTGTTGCCAAACGCAAACTGCAAACAAGCCCAAAAGCGTTTCCATCACGTGAAAACAAGATAAAGAATAATTTCAATAATATAATCAGCAGTATCTATGCAAAAATATAAATTTACTTTTTTACTATACCCGTGTATAATAGATAAATTGTGGTTTAGCGTTCTCAATGTAGGAAAACGTAATAATATTCACCCCCGGCCGAATATTTTAGTCACGCAATCGTTATAATCTTTATAGTGCAATGCGATATTTATATTAATAAAATAGTTAATAAATTTTGATAACAATGACTTCGTGTGATATAATCTTTGTATTCGTTTGAACCCTGTGGTGGTTGAGTAAGTCGCAGCTATGCGAGGTGTAATAAATTTGTAGGTACTCATTTTTCTCGTGTCGTGAGACATTTTAGCCCACTCGCCGCTGCGCTCATGCAGTAAAAACGCACAATATAGCCATGTTTGATTGCAAAATATTTGTATCTATACCCCGGAAATTGTTTGATCTATAAAATAAGTGAGGTGACCAAAGAAAAACTGTTTTTCAGTTTGATGTTTCAAAATTGTAAAATAAAAACGATTCTGTGGAGCTGACATTTCTATTTTTAAACGTTCGAAAATGAGGTCTAACCAAGTCAAATTTTAGTAAAATAAAAGGAGTAACGGAAAGTTTTATAAATTCATTAGGTACTAATACGGAAACGTCGATTTTAATATGTGCAATAAATTAAAGCACACTTTTCATATTGTTAATGAAAATTTTCCTATTCCGTGTGATGGTATTTTGGGAAGAGACTTTTTAGTCAATTATAAAGCGAATTTGAATGATTTTTATTGGACTGTACTTCCGATGTGTTGTAAATTAAAGAGCTGGGAGTATTGTCAATGACTACTCGAATAGGCCAACATACAATTACCACCCCAATTTTCAGTACGTTAGAGGAAGGAGGATAGTACAATATTTATTCCACCAAGATGCGAGCCTCAAAATGGACAGACAAATTGAAACTATGTAACAGAAAAATCGCCTGTATAAATTAAAAATTATGGGATTCCCAAATTTCAGAAAGAGGAAGTAAACAGGCAAGTTGCGCAAATGCTACACAACGACGTTATCCAAGCCTCGTTTTCTGAATACAATAGCCCAGTTTTACTATACTTCGTTCACCCAACAGAAATAGTTAAGCCCCTCCTCAACAATTACCGCCACATTTGAATACGACGTTGTTATTGGTGTAATTTTTGAAGCCACAATCACACTTGTAAAGCGAATTGGCCGAATTGGGTAATCTGTCATCTGTCATCTTGCCTATTGCGTTTCTGCCGGTTTTTACGTTTTTACATCTTTACTTGCGTCAATTTGCCATTAATCTCCTTTATTCACACAAAATAGTCTTTATAAAGACTCGTCGGTGTATTCTAAAGATAGTCAGGTGAGTAATTATAAAATTTTATACACGATTTTTACATGCCTGTTTTTAGGGTTATATTATTCGCGATCAAGAAAAGTTGTACGCAAACATGAATGTCGCCGGTGCTGCTTTCTCTCCACCGAAAAAACGTTCTGCCAAGCACTTTTCAGTTGAAGACAAAACTGGCATTTTAAATACACGAAGACGAAGACTTACCCCATTTGAAACGAACTACTTTATGGAAATTAATAAAAGAAATAGGTTTTCGGTCAGTAAACCTTTTTTCTTTACGTGTATGTATATTATGTACTTGTCATTGTAGATTCGAAAAGAGGTCACGCAATAGTGTTCTTAGGGAAAAGGACGAAATAATTACTTGGAGGCGTCGGTTCTTGCGTGAAATTAGAAAATATCGTGAAGAAGGTAGGAAGTTGTATTTCCTAGATGAAACTTGGGTGAATGCTGGGCATACTGTAAGCAAAGTATGGAAGGACACCACAATTCTCACTCCAAGACAGGCATTTATCAACGGGCTATCAACTGGATTGAAAGATCCATCGGGCAAAGGAAATCGCCTTATTGTTCTCCATATAGGGTCCGAGGATGGCTTCGTCGAGGAAGGTTTGCAGTGTTTTGAATCGAAGAAAACAGGGGATTATCACGAAGAAATGACCAGTGAAGTTTTTGAAAAGTGGTTTATGGAAATCGTTACACATCTTGATGAACAATCTGTGATTATAATGGACAACGCTTCATATCATAGCAGGAAAAGTGAAAAAATACCAAACACCAGTACGAAAAAAGCTGATATACAAACTTGGTTAACAAGCAAATCGATACCTTACGAAGAAGATATGGTAAGAGCTGAACTTCTACAGCTTGTGAAACGGGCAGCTGTTACACCAAAATATGTAGTTGATGAAATTGCAAAGGAACACAATCGTACCGTGCTGCGATTGCCTCCATATCACTGCGAATTGAATCCAATTGAACTGATATGGGCGCAAATAAAAGGTGAAGTGGCCAGAAACAACACCACATTTAAAATGAAAGACCTTCATCCACTATTTCAACAAGCAGTGGAACATGTTACTGCTGAAAATTGGAAGAACGCAATTCGCCATGCTCAAAGTGAAGAGGAAAAAATGTGGCAAATTGACATTTTAATGGACATCGTAGTGGAGCCATTAGTAATTCATGTGGGAGATGACTCGACATCAACGGAGTCCGAATCCGAGTGAAGCGATACAGGATTTAAATTGTTATGTACCTTTGTTTATATTCAAGTGCACTTGTAATTTCAAAACTTTGTGCTGCTGTAATAATACTTTTTTGTACTTTTCTCAATATAAACAGTGTTTTTATGTTGCATATTTACATGTATTTAACAGTTTGCAGGTTTTACTATTTTTGCCACGAGTTATGTTCAGAGAGATAGCGCCATAATTAGTCTTGAGCAAGTGACATTTCAATTTGATTTTTCAAATTTTCCGCTTTTTATAATTTTGTGGTTGTAAAACTGGTTGCTGCTTACATTGGCCCAAATTTTGTAGGAGTGGCTTAACTATTTCTGTTGGGTGAACGAAGAAGTATAGCAAAAATAAACAAAAGGGAATTGTACTAATAGTAAACCGGATAGGCGCCACTTGGTCTTTAGTAAATGTCAAAAGAGGGGAGAATACTTACCAAAAGGGGGAAACCAGGCAGAGATCCTTGTTCTGGTCTTGAAAAGCTAAAGAATAAAATACTTGATAGGAGTAGAACACACGTATATAGATCTGCAATGTCAATATTTGAATTCTGATTAATGAAGGGGGATCAACACGTATCAGATAAAATTTAATATCAAAACCAGGCTTCTGCAGAAAACAACTATAAGTGAACATCAAGAAAATGTAATAATTACAATCCGCTTGTATCGAAAACCAGTGTGTAATCAAACGTTAAATAAGGAGTCATCGAAATAAAAATTACCTTTGGGCGTTCAGTTCAGTTCAGAAGATCAAATCTGTAACATATAACAACACAAACTAACAAAAGGGTAGAGAATCGCGCTGCACATAAAATATTGCGAAATAGCAATGCTACCGTCTGACACGGAGACAATCGGATAATAAACTGTAATTAATAACCACGGGTTATCCTTACAGTGCGAGACGTTAAATTCAAGAAAAACACTTAACAGTGCACAAATAACTAAATGTCTATTGATCTAATCAATGCATGACATAAACAATATGAGCAAATTCTTCGGAGTAAATATACAACGTAACCAAAAAATTGTAGATATCGGCTTCGGACAAAGCCTCTGTAACTTCAAAACTAATTCACAAAGCAACGGTACTAATATCTGATATAACACAGCTAATCTGAAGGATACAATGTAATCGAACTAATAGAATGAATCTCTGTAGCAATCAGAAAGAAATGTAGATAAAAGCGGATCTCGATATCGGTCGGTAAAGTTAAATCTTCGGTAACAGCAAAAACAATGCACGTACTATCAGGAGCGATTTACAACAATAATGTTCTCCAGGGTTTCGTAAATACTTGCGATTACAGGAATTATCTTGAAATCTCCAGGCATAAACAAATTCGAAGTAGATTATGTAGGTAGAATCAGCTGTTTGGATTCACAGAAATGGCGGGGACCTTGCCGGTAATGTAGAAACTCATCCACCGCGCCGTTCAGGGTTGATAAGATGACGAGTCCAAATAAAAATGCAATATCATCCACGTACTGCGTGGCTCGTAAGTAAAATCCAGGTAGGTCAACTTAGAAAGGTATTCCAAACGAAAGACAGAAGAGAACTTAAAAAAAAATTGTAAGAAAATGGTAATAGAAGGTTAAACTTGAGCGTTGAGTGAAGTTAAATCCCTAGCAAAACACGTAATGAGAAAAATGATGCGTAATAATGAAACCTATCTCGTATTGTTTATATTCAAATACAGATGCAGAAAAACTTTTGAATGGTGCCACCACAGGCATCAACGAGAGAAAGAGAAAACACACCAAAGATAGCGTTAGTGCACACACCGATGGCAATATTGAAGAATTGAAGGCGATGGTTACTAACTTAATTTTTATTATTTCCGAGTGCGAATTATCGGTGAATTAGTCTTCATGCACGTTATTTAATTATTGGAATTTCCTTATTTACAATCACTTGATACATTGTTTTCTAAAATAAATTTAATTATCTGGCCAGCAAGAATATTTTTAGTTCAGTCAGAATTGGATATTTTGTCCGTTTAGAGGATTGGCAGAATTTGTTTAATTTTAGTATTTAATCATAACAAATGTTTAATATATTCTCTTTGTATATCATTTATAATTTCTCACAAAGGGAAAAAGGTTGTTTCAAACACACCAATTAGTAGAGTAGACGACGATAATTTGCTCAAAGCTTAAAAAGAAAGGGACCATTAGAGCAAAGAAATATATTACATAGTAGTACCTAAATATATATCAAGAAGAATTTTGAAGAAGTCATCTCACCTCCGTTTATTGGTTTTGTAACGAGAACTTTTCCTAAAAAACGACCCCCATTTAGGCTGATGGTGTTTATTGATCTCGGTGGGAATCAGTGGGGTAAACTGATAGCGATGTCTTTGACACTTCTTGGTATCTACCTGTACAATGTATGATTTTGTTTTAAATTGAGTAATACATGCAAAGCTCTGGGAATAGCGTGTTTATTGGCTAAACAGATAGCGAAACGAACAGATAAAGTGAAATATACGAAAATTACGTTGGAATAGTTCACAGCGACTCTGGAAGAAGGGGGACAGCAATATAATTTAACAGAACTAGTTAGGGAACTGTTTTAATTGATAAGAATCATTAGGTACGTCGGCGAGTAACTAGTCAAATTGCGATTATTAAGGCTTCCAATATGAAAACTTTTCAAATTAAATTTTATTACTTCGAAAGGAATAGGAAATGTTTTAATTAGGTGGTAGAAATTTAAATTACGAGTTGTCAGGCTGTTCAAGCTGAATTATTATATTATGTTTGTATGAAGTTGTAAATGGTTTTTGCTGGCCTTATAAAACAAATTTGTTTAAAACTGACGTTATGTAAAGTAGGCAATATTCAAATAATTAAAATTTACGCTTTAAAATGAAGCCCCTATATAAATGTTAATCAATGTTACATTGCCGGAATATGAATACAATGATTACGTTTCGACCGGTTGATGTGTGAAATTAGGATTTTGTCAAGCGTTCTCATAGCTAACACGGGCTGAATTTTTTTGCACTGCGGAATCTGCATCACGCGGATAATTTTCAGTTAATAAAATAGTTTACATAATACGCAGTGCAGGAATTTCAAAAGCCAGAATTCATTTAAAAGTCTGATGCAGTTTTCAGAAGCCCGCCTGAAAATTGTTTGGAAACTTTATGTACGCAAATAAGACGGAAAACTGATGCTAAAGGAAACATTACTTCAGTTCGTTTGAACAATGAGTTGTAAATTTACAATTGATGTTCCCGAGTTGGAAAGTTTTAGTTCAATTTTACTCCTTCTTACATCTAGTATTCACTTTAAACAAAGTCCCGTCTATTTAAGCAAAATGCTTATTACGTGTTTCTTGAAGTTTACTAACTCTCTTTCTGTTTTTGCCTATGTTGAGTAGCATCTTTTTTCCGCCTCGAACATTCTAGAAAATTCAGATTTAATCTTGGCAAATGTCTCAGTAGGTAATGCTTTTTGGTGGCAGCATCTCAACAAAAAAAGCCCGTGTCGAATTTCACCCAACTTCGTTTTGATTCGACAATGTATGGCAATAAGTCTTTCAGTGACTATGTTCGTACTTCTTCTACATATTGGCCCGTATGAATAAAAGTAAGCAAATGCTTATACTTGCAAAATTCAAAGTAAATACTCGTAAGTGCTCCTTCGCACTGGGCGATTGAGCAGCGCTGCTAAGCAGAAGGACCAGGACACAGTGCAGCGCTGCTAAACTATGCTAAACAGACCAGTATGAAGGGGCAGTTACGAGTATTTACTTTGAATTTTGCAAGTATAAGCATTTGCTTACTTTTATGCATACGGGCCATTGTGTAAAAGCAGTATAAAAGTTTACGTAACGTTCTGTTAGTTGCATTAGTTCGCCTTATTGGAATGCCCGAAATGTTTTATTTCAATAGCCTTTTCAGTTTCATTTGGGAAACGCGGTATAGGTTTTTTGGACCAAAAAAGAGTGGGTTTTCTTCAGTCTATATGAAGACAAAATGGCGCCGGTTTCCGGTGTAAGACAATATACAAGTGGGAACGTCAACATTTGATTTAACATCCGGTATTGTGTTGTAAAATTCCTCCGTTAGATGTCGTCTGTTGTCTCCATACAGGAATTACTTATCTTAAAACTAATGTAAAAGGTTGCTTTAAACGTTACAGAAATACTTTTAGGTATTTTTAATTAGCCAAAATTAAACAATGCGGTGCACCAAATCATTGTTGAAAGCCCTTTTCCCTTCCCAGATAGTACATAAAGAAAATCAAATGAAATGAAAAAATAAAACAAATTAACGGCCAACAAAATTATTGCTGCCAGGAGAGTATATCAAATGGCACAAAAATGGCAACCATTGACTGTGCCTAGGACACAAGGTGATCCGTAATTACACTTTTTGCACATAGGACATGGCGTTCTCAATTTCGCCCGATTAGTAACATCAAGAAAATTTATTTCACGCTTCACGTGACACCTTTCCAGATGTTAAACTCTCCGGATACCAATCCCTTGGTTGAACCCAAAAGAAACAATTAACGTTAATTAATTTCTGGATAGAAAATCAATACGGTCTTATTTAATTTGTCCGTCTTGTTTTCCCGATTGTTTCGATATGCCATTCCTATGCGTACGGTTCTTAATTAAAGTTTATTTGTACAATAAATCTTCCTCTTCCCTTTCGCGTAATCAATTATCCTTGTTTTGATGCCTTATAATCTCTAAATGGAATTAGTAATGCGATATAGTGTAACACTTTCCCTGTTCCGTGCGTAATAAAGCGAGACGAAGCGCGGAGTTCGCTCCAAATGTGTAGGAGAAACATAAAATTAACGGGATCGTATCAATTTAATAAGATACAGTTTGAATCTGAGTTTTATTAGCTTGTTTGTTAGGCAAAGCTGAGGAATTTCAAGAGGTTGAACAATACGTGCCTTTCAGTGTAAATGAAAAGCTTTTTTTGAAGAGTATAAAAAATATAAAATGAAAGCTTTTATTATGAGTAGAGAACATATCAAGACATTAAATTCGAAATAAGGGAATTATCTTAATTTTGGCAAATGTGTTGAAAAAATACCGTCCTGAATTTCATTCGGGGGGGGTTCAGATGGACTGAGATTGAGAAT